TAGAGACAGGGTTTCACTATGTTGGCCAACCTGGTCTCGAACTCATGACCTCCAGTGATCCACCTGCCTCAGCCTCCCAAAGTGCTGGGATTACAGGTGTGAGCCCGGCCAGTATCTCTTGATTCTATGGATCTGCTGGGCAGTTCTTCTAGTCTGGGTCAGCTTAGCAAATCTGTGCTGTGAGTCGACAGATTGGCTGGGACTGGAAAGCTTAGGATGGCTTCACTCGCATTAATGTTCCTTTGGCCAAAGCGGGTCATATACCCAAGCCCAGATTCAAGATTCAAGAAGTAGATAAACAAACTTCATCTCTCTTATTTTTTTTGAAACAGTCTTGCTCTGTCTCGCAGGCTGGAGTACAGCAGTGAAATCTTAGCTCACTGCAACCTCCACCTCCCAGGTTCAAGCGACTCTCGTGCCTCAGCCTCCTGAGTAGCTGGGACTACAGGCGTGCATCACCACATCTGGCTAATTTTTCTATTTTTAGTAGAGATGGATGGGGTTTCACCATGTTGTCGAGGCTGGTCTTGAACTCCTGACCTCAAGTGATCCGCCCGCCTCAGCCTCCCAGAGTGCTAGGATTACAGGTGTGGGCCACCTTCAACTCTTGATAGAAGGAAGAGCAAAATCAGGAGGCACAAGGGAGTATAATCCAAGATGGTAGGCATTTATAGCCATTTTACAACTGAATTGTAAACCTTTCAGCAGCCACGATAGGAGTTCATAGTCTAGGTAATAATTCAGTGGCTGTACATGTATAACCGAAAATGACTAACTTACGTTAGCCTCTGTGGTTTGACTCCTAAAGGAAAACTTTCCATTAATAACAAGTTTATAGGCCAGAGACGGTGGCTCACGCCTGTAATCCCAACACTTTGGGAGATGGATGCAGGTAGACTGCTTGAGCTCAGGAGTTCAAGACCAATCTGGGCAACATAGTGAGACCTTGTCTCTACTAAATATCAGAAAAATAAAAATAACAAGTTTATAGAACAGTCCACTATTTTATTTTTCACAGAACTCTCCTGTCCAAATCTCTTGTTCAAATGCATCAGCTAAGACACTTCTATAAGCATACTATTTATATCAATGACTCCCAAGAGAACAAGCATTCCTTGCCCCCAGTCCTACCCAGAGAAATTTTTCTAGAATTGGGGCTGGGGGGAGGGGAAGGTAAGGAATATAATTGGAGAATACTTATTCAGATAAACCACAAAATTTTATAGTTAGCCAATGAAAAACATATATAACTATCTCTTATAATACAAATTATAGAAAGCAACACATTTACAAAATGGAGACAAGGTTTAAAAATTGAGAGTCTGGGTGCAGTGGTGCACATCCCAGTGCTTTGGGAAGCTAAGGCAGGAGGATCGCTTGAGCCCATGAGCTTAAGGCTGCAGTGAGCTAGGATCGTGCCACTGTCCTGCAGCCTGGGTGACAGAGCGAGACCCTGCCTCTTTAAAAATATATAGAGATAGAGAGCCGGGTGCGGTGGTTCACGCCTGTAATCCCAGCACTTTGGGAGGCCGAGGCAGGTGGATCATGAGGTCAAGAGATCGAGACCATCCTGATCAACACGGTGAAACCCCAACTCTACTAAAAATACAAAAAATTAGCTGGGCATGGTGGCGCGTGCCTGTAATCCCAGCTACTCAGGAGGCTGAGGCAGGAGAATTGCCTGAACCCAAGAGGCGGAGGCTGCAGTGAGCCGAGACCCCGCGCCATTGACTCCAGCCAGGGTAACAAGAGCGAAACTCAGTCTCAAAAAAAAATAGATAGATAGATAGATAGATAGACAGACAGACAGACAGATAGTTATATGTGTGTGTGTATATATATCTGTATATATACACATACCTACATTCATGTAATATATATGTGTATGGATATATGCATGTATCTATCATCTAGGTAATGTACATGTATGTATATTATACACATGTAATATATATGTATGTACACATATATATCATGTAATATATGTATACTATATACATGCAATATGTATGTGTATATATAGGCACATACATACAGAGAGAGAGAGAGAGAGAAACACCAACCAGATAGTGGAGAGTTTCCAGTTTACAGGTATACCCTGAGTTTGGTAGAAGCCATTTCTCTCCAAAAGAGACCCTGTAGGCCACAGTCAGAGAGCCAGCATCCCTGAGAAAGCCACAGAAATATTCTTCTCCTGGCTGAATCCGTTCCCTGGCTGGCTGGCACTTGGCAACCTGACAAGTGTTTTACATTCAAAAGGTCAAGCTCTGAGCGAATCTGCCCAGAGTCTAGTGAAGAGTGCCTTACCACTCACGCCTGGATGCCCAGGCCTGGCGCCTGTCCCCTGCCCCTGCCATTCTGACAGCTGTGGAAGAAGGACCCAGGTTCCCAGCTCGGGCTGTCAGCACATGCAGGGCAGCCCTTTTGTTGAAGGTCAAAGTCTAATTCTCACTCCAGGGAGTCTTCTCTGTTGCTCTCTTTCTTCTAGCATGTCCATCTTAATAACTGCTTGTATTTATAGTCTTCAAGACATTTTCCCCTTCGCAATCTTATTTGATCTTCTCAAACAGAAGGAGGGTGTCAGAACAATCACGAGTCTTGTTTCAAAAAAAGAAAGACTAGGCAATTGAGTGTTGGGAAAAAAGCGTAAGGAGAGAAAGATGTGGTATTTTTCCTCCTCCATCATAAGGGTCCCAGCTGATACTCTCATAACAGGTTAACAGGAGAAAAGCATAACAAATGTATTTAATCAAAGTTTTATGTGACTGAAAAATTTTATGTTCAGAATGAAGACCCAAAGATTTAGGGAAAATTGTCCATTGTTTGTTTGTTTAATGGAGTTTCACTCTTGTTGCCCAGGCTGCAGTGCAGTGTTGTGATCTCGGCTCACTGCAATCTCCACCTTCTGGATTCAAGCAATTCTCCTGCCTCAGTCTCCCAAGTAGCTGGGACTACAGGCACATGCCACCACGCCTGGCTAATTTTTGTATTTTTTGTAGAGATGGGGTTTCACCATGCTGGCCAGGCTGGTCTTGAACTCCTGACCTCAGGTCATCCGCCCACCTTGGCCTCCCAAAGTGCTAGGATTATAGGCGTGAGCCACCACACCTGGCCAGCTGTCCATTTTTATGCTTAGATTGGATGAAAAATGGACAGCCGTGTAGAAATATGATTGGACTGAAGAGTATGACCTAATGCTAATAGACTGCATGGGGAAGCCCAGCAAGGCCTATGCAGATTCTTCTTGCCCTCTCTGTTGTAGCATTTCTTCCTCTCAGGTATGGATGGGGCAGGACCCCTCCAGAACGACAGTCTTCTGACCTAATATTGCCAAGGATAAGCCAAAGAATTTCTTTAAAGCCAGTTCCTAGCCAGAGCGGTAAAGAAAGTTTAAAGCAATTATTCTAGTTTTTAGACTGGCTTTGGAAAAAAGATCCAGTTTCTATGACCCACCTTGGGGAAGAGGAATTCTGGTTTCTATCACTTGCTTCAAGAGAGAATGAGGGGTAAGAGACAGCAAGGCAGAAGATCTAAGAGACCTTGGCTCTGAGGTTGCTTCTGAGGTCTTCTGGCATCCTTTAATTTATCACTTCTCAACCTTTTGGCTAAGATCAAGTGTAGTATCTCTTCTTATCAGTTTAATACCCAGTATGTCCTCTATCCAAGGGCAATAGATTAAATGGATTTTTGGAGCAGGGAGATAGAATAGGAGCTTGCTCCGACCACTCCACACGTTGACTTGGTGCTGCAGTACCTCCAGGAATGGTGCACTGCTCCAGGAGATTTTTATTTGTAATCCTTTAATTTAAAGTGCTCAGCATGCCAAAGGTCCATAGTTTGAAGTAGCACTTTCTGAACCCCAACAAAAGTATAATACAGTGGTTAAAAGCAAAGGCCAGAGTTGGCCTTCTGCCCATTAATCACTAGGTAATCTGGGCACATTAATCTCTCTGACTCAGGTTTCCTATATAGAAACTAGAGATGATAATTTCCCTATCTCATAAGCCTTTTTGCAAAAACAATATATAAAAATATAAGTAAAATGTCTAGCATAATAAATCACCAGTATTGTTTTTATTATTTGTATTGCTTTTGTTATTATTACATACCTAGATATCCAACACTAGATATGTGACAGGGCTAGCTGTGTGGTAACATGGAAACATACATCCATGACCTGAGTCATATTACCTACCTCCAACTTTCAATAAGGAGAGTGGAGGCTCTGGCTGTCCTGCTCTCTTAAGTGAATTCCAGCTATTCCATGAGGTGTGGTCTAGGGTTTTCTGTTAGACTGTTTTTGTTTTCTTCTTCCTCCTCCTCCTCCTCTTTCTTCTTCTTCTCCTTCCTTCCTTCTTCCTTCTTTCTTCTTTCTTCTTCTTCTTCTTCTTCTTTCCTCTTCTTTTCTTCTTTTTCATCTAGAGACAGGGTCTCACTCTGTTGCCCAGACTGGAGTGCAGTGGCACAATCATAGCTCACTGCAGCCCTGAGATTCTAGGCTCAAGCAATCTTCCTCCCTCAGCCTCCCACATACCTGGGACTGCAGACATGCGCCACCACACTCAGCCAGACCCATCTTCTTGAAAGAAAACTTCTTCCTTACAGCTTGCTAAAACTTCAGAAAAGAACTCCAGGATCCCAAACTCTTTTAGGTATGGGCAAAAAAAAAAAAAAAAAAAAAAAAAAAAAAAAAAAAAAAAAAAAAAAAAAAAAAAAAACAAAAAAAAAAAAAAAACGTTTTACCCAAAACTGGGTTTGTCTTTAGAATCCTGTTAGCCTTTCCCTCCACAACCTAGTGGTCTATTCCAGGATGGTCAGTATTCCCAAATAAATTAATTCTACCTATGATCAAAGTTCTTCTTACAGCCAGGAGTTCAAATCCTTTTCCTACTAACCTTTCATCAAATTTGCTCAAAAATCACCAACTTTTAACTGTTCCAGTTCTTTTTCCTTTTCATCCCTGGGTAATTACCATTGGATATGTCAGTGAGCAGGGAAAGATTACAAGATCAGCAAACGGAGGAAGAAGGTGGAAAACTGAGGGTCCATGTGACCCAGTAATCTGGTTGTAAATCTATGAATAATTCAGTTAACTTTGCCCACATGAAAGAAAATGAGAGATGTGTAGTTACATCATGAAAAACAAACACAAGAAGAAAAGAATTAAATTTCAAATACAATCATGACTATATAAGGGGGAAAAAAGCAAAAAAAGAGAAAAAAATGAAAAGGAGAGAGCCAGGATCCCAGGAAATACATTAAACCATGACTGTGAAAGACAAAGAATATGAAGCAAAAAATATAATATAGAAATCTACCTTACTATACTGTGTATAGAAAAAAAAAAAAAAAAACACCAGTAAATAATGGATCTCCCACTACCATTAAGTTAAATTCAAATTGCTTTTGTTTCTGATTTACATATGCCTGAATCAAATGTGATGGTGGAAGTATTTTTAATGCCATTTACATGCCACAGAAATACTGTAACCAGAATAAAAGATTATTGATCATTTCCAATAGCTTCCTCTAAAGTATACGCCAAATCTCACGGATGGTATATGTAAGAGTCATTTGAATTTCAAATGCATTTACAAGGGTCAGCGCTATCACAGCATGTAGCAAGTGAATCTGTAAGAGGAGGTATTCCAGATCAATTGTTTCCAAATTATGCTTTTAGATTATCTTCATTTCTCTTTTGAAAATATGCCCTATTATTAATAGTATAGAATAAGAAACGCTTGACTTTTCTGATATCGAATTATATCTCTGGTTTTACGGTTAATCTCTCTCTCGTGCTTTTACACACCAGCCTAGCTACAACATATATCCTTATTGTCTCTAGTAAACTCCTAGAAGCTTTCAAACCCCAGCTCAAATATCACCTGCTCTGCAAAACCTTTGCCAGCACTCCCAGGTGGAGTAGAAATCCCTGCTCAGGCCGGGTGTGGTTGCTCACACCTGTAATCCCAACACTTTGGGAAGCCAAGGCAGGCGGATCACGAGGTCAGGAGTTCGAGACCAGCCTGACCAACATGGAGAAACTCATCGCCATGAGAAATACCCCTAAAATGTATTTTGATTCATCTCTCCCTTCTCGTCCTTCCTCTTCCCTTCCCTAAAATACAAAATTAGCCTACTACTAAAATACAAAAATTAGCTGGGCATGGTGGCAGGCACCTGTAATCCCAGCTACTCAGGAGGCTGAAGCAGGAGAATCGCTTGAACCCGGGAGGCAGAGGTTGCAGTAAGCTGAGATCGCGCCACTGCACTCTAGCCTGAGCAACAGAGCAAGACTCCATCTCAAAAAAAAAGAAAGAAATCCCTGCTCAGCACTCTCATCACCCTGTGTGTGTGCAACTATTCTACATGCAGCTTTAACAAGAGTCTTCTCTTCCAGCGCCTAAACTCACCAGGTCAAGATATAGCACAGTGCTTGTATGTATGAATTGTACTAGTAGTTAAATAACAGAGACCTATGGGAGTGAATTTAAATTCAAAGATGGGGAGGGAGGCATATTACTACAAGCCTACATGGGAATCTCATGGATTCCAAGCCAAACTTCAGGGAAAGTCTGATAAAAGAGATGGAAAACCATCTGGGATTCAAAGCACACTCCCATCTTCCATAACCAATTCTTCCTAACATCTGCTTTATTCTTTAAACTACAGACAACACAACAAAAGGAACGGGGTGGTGGTGGAGAGACTACATTTCATCACAATTTTTGCACCTACAGAGGACAAGTCCAGTGATACAAAAAGACCAGTCCCTTGTTGTCTCCCCTTCAGTCTCAATTCCAAATTCCAGGGTGGGAATTGAATTGCCCAGCTTGAGTCAGGTGTCCACCATGATCCCGTTTGCTATGTTCAGGTGGCCAGGGATATGTGGTTCTAACACAAGTAGTGGGGAACACTGAGAAGCAGAGCAGAAAAGAAGAGAGAATCATTGTGAGTTAAGCAGATACCCCAAAAGGTGAATCCTACACAGGTATTTTGTTGGATAAAAGGGAAGGAGGGCAGGAAAGGAGATAAGGAAAGAGGGAGGGTGAGAAGGGAGGGATGAATCAAAATACATTTTAGAGGCATTTTTCATGGCGATGAGTCAAACCAGGAAGAACTTAGTGTCTTACTAGGGATGGTCATGAAATCCAGTGACAGTGACGTCATTGAATACATATGCATATGATGATGTGCATCTGCATGTAGTAGCCACTGATATGGACTCCTACATTTGAGAACAGGTAAGCTAATCAATAGCTTGGATTTGCAGTTTAGGAAAAATCAAAAATATATATAGAACCCAAAACCCAAAATCTATACTGTCATTTACATCTGCTCCAAACCGTCCAGAGGGCCTTCATGCTTAGTAGCCATCAAAACCTACTGGGAGGTAGAAGAGAAACCCATTTCTACTCACTGAAGTAAACGTGTGCTCACAGCAAACAATTAGCAGCTCTTTGGGCATAAGACTGTCAAAAAGACTAAAGCCTGGGTATGGTCAAGGTTTCCCGAAGTGTGGTCCACACTGGAATCTCAGCCAATAAATCTGCATATTAAACAAGCTCTTAGGAGGCTTTTTTTTTTTTTTTTTTTCTGAGACAGGATCTTGCTCGGTTACCCAGAATGGAGTGCTGAAGTATGCTCAGGGTTCACTGCCTCGACTCCTTGACTCAGGCAATCCTCCGACCTCAGCCCCCTCAGTAGCTGGGACTAAAGGTATGCACCACTACACCCTGCTGATTTTTGTAGGAACAGGATTTTGCCATGTTTACCAGGCTGGTCCTGAACTCCTGAGCTCACGTGATCCTCCCACCTCCGCCTCCCAGAGTGCTGGGATTACAGGAGTGAGCCGCCAAGCCCAGCCTGGGAAGCTTCTTATGCACAGCACCACTGTGTAGCCTCTAAAATGATTTCCAATGACCCCCAAGCTATACCCTTTTGCATTTCGCTCTCACGTTAAACTTGGTTTGATCTGTATTACCATAGCATAGAGCAGAAATGATAATACATCACTTCTAAGATGAGGTCATAAAATATTTTGGCTTTTGTGTTGAGGGCTCTCTTTGTCTCTCTCTCTCTTCCCCTCTTTCTCTTTTCTTAGGTAACCATTCCCACTGGGGAGAGCCATGTCATGAACAGCCCCCATGGAGAGAACCACATGGCAAGCAGCTGAAGCTCCTGCCAACAGCCTCATGAATGAGATTAGAGGCGGATACCCCAGCTCCTTCAGAAACTGCAGCACTGGCTGACAGCTTGACTGCCACATCCTAAGAGACTCTGAAATCAGAACCACTCAGCTAACCATTCCCAGATTCTTAACCCTCAGAAACCATGTGAGATCATAAATGTTCATTGTTTTATTGTTTTAATTGGCTACATTTGGGGATAATTTACTACACAGCAAAATAATACAGGTAGCTAAATAGATAAATAATACAGGTAGCTAAATAGATAAATAATACAAGTAGCTAGTCTCCAAAGACGGCCCGTTCCTGTCCTTACATACTGCTCCTCACATCAAGAGATGGAGATTATTTTTCCTTTCTTTACATTTGAGCTGGCCCTGTGGCTGGTTTGAACAATAGAATGCAGCAGAAGTGACATTCTGGGACTTTTGAGCCCAGCTTTTAAGAGAACTGGCAGCTAGCTACCCCTTGGACCCCAGGCACATGCTGTGAGCAACCAAAGCCACATGGAGAGGGAACGGAGAGGAGAACAGAAGTGCGTGTTTGGCAGCTCCAGCTGAGCTCCCAGCCAGCAGTCAGCACTGCCT